TTCTTTTCCTTAATCCAGGCCTCTTTTTCACGTTTATGAATTTTTTTAATGTCCCATTGGTATATGTCGCACATATTTACATGATACATAAGGGTTACAAATATGATACAGTATAATATCTGACTACTGGCAATGCGTATGGAAATAAAAGCATTATTAATACATGTCATACATGTTAAAACTTTAAATTATTAACTATTTTTTGAAAATAAGAAAATTGTTAATGAGACAACGGTCAGCCAATAACCAAACGACGAACATTTAAACAACTATACATGTAATACGTTACCATGCAACTTTCAACCACTACAAAATCCTTACCCCATGACAGCTATGAAAGGCCCAATTTCATGAAATATGAATCCAATGGCCTGTTTATTCGTTCTAAAAAAACAATAAACGAAAGTATGACAGACAGTTTATTAATTCTATAAATTGTTAAGAAGCTAAGGTTTCAACTTTCTAGGGCAAAATTGACCTAGATGTATTTAGCTAAAATTGTTGGGTCCCTACCGATCATAAATCTCTTCAATTGTTTAGGTTCTTATAAATCGTTAGCTTTCAATATTCGTTTCTTTTTAAATGAAATTAATAAAGAGTTGTTTTAATTTATTTGTGACAGTCGGAGAAAAAAGCTTGAATCACGACGTGTGCACACAGACAACCAACACAAAGACATAATACTAGTTTCCTTTAATTGATAATTCAGTGCAAATTATCATAATAATGTGACAAACAAAACATAAAAAAACTGTTAATCTGGATTGTAGCTTCAAATGAGGTGTCCGTACAATATATTATTATAACATCTGGTCCCAATTGACTTTATATAGAATCACGACTTAACGTTTAAGTAATTTAGTGGAAAATTAACAAATGAATACCTTTCAAAGCTTACGTTTTATTCGTTCAAATGTATTATTAACATTTTATCTTAGCCAATATTTTATTGTTGGTCCTAGTTGTGAAATAAACCTTATGGTTTCGGTTGAATATAATACTATATTCTTCAAATACAAGTGTTACCAATCACTATCGAGTATTACGAAATTTTACATACCTTAAACAACAATACGGAAGCTATTAGTAGAGAAAAAACTGCAACTGGCCCTTTCGGATAACATTACTTCAATCTTTTTGTGGGGTTCCGGTTGTCAGTTACTAGATTTCTGTCTAGTTTTTGTTGAACGTAGTTCATCCTTTCGTCGATTAGTTTTGCTGATGTTGTTGTCTATCTTATTTCCATGTATGGTTTTTTTTCATTTTCCTCTTTTTTCATTTCTCTTTATGCCTCAATATATCTGTCAAACGTATAGATACAAAAATGTACTCTCTTTCTAGATAACGTTTTCGGTTAATTACCAAGAACCTAACACAGACAGTATATGGCATGACATGATTCAAATCACAGAATTTATTATAATATTTTCACATATAGCCTTAGCCATTATTTTCGATAATTGTATTCCTCCGTTACGCTTGGTATATATTTCAAATATTAAGGTCTGGGCCATGTAAGAATTTTAAACACATCTATAACTTGCATGAAGTATATATGAAGTATGAAATACATGCATTTTTATATCTGATGCTTTCAATTATGTATATTTTCATAATGTGAACTGTTTGATAACAAATATGTTAACATACACGTTTATAATTAGATTTAACATTCATTGAATGGCAGAGGTAATAGAAAAAATTAAATAACAAAGTATTAGATTACATACTAATATTAAATTAATTTGGTTTACCGATGTTTTACAATTTTTTATATCTTATATGACAAATACCATTAACATGATTAATCTTATGTAGGTAATGACCACTTAAAGATAGAATCCAGCGACAAATAATGGAAACAACAGAAGTTTCTCAAGGCGGTAGACGGAAATGCCTATTAGCTGCATCTGTAATACTGTTTTCGACCATTACGTTCTTAAGTATTTTTCTTTACTTTCAACTTAAAGGTAAATTATTGTATTTTAAAACAATTCAGTCAGGCGACAGTTAGACACCTTTTTTTTTTGCCACGGCGTTATCTGTTTCTTTTCGACTTATGAGTTTTTGAAGGTCCCTTTGGTATATTTCGCCTTTCTCTTTCACAACATGTTTCTTTGGAGGTTTTTTTCTAACTGTATTATTTTTTTTTTTTGAAGAAAGTTAATATACGAATAAGGAGATGTGGTATGATTGCCAATAAGACATCTAACCACCTAACTTCCTAAGTGGATGATAGCAATTATGGGCAACTGTACGGCCATCAACTATGAGAAAACCCATACCGTAAAGTCGAGTGAAAAAAAGGCCCCGACATGAAAAAGATCAAACAATTCAATACAGAAAACTAACGGCATAATTTATAACAAGACAATTTACGAAAAAACAAATATGACAGTCATGAACCAACGACAACCATTGAACTACACAATCCTGACTTGGACATTTAGTGTAAAGACGTCATTAACAATCAGAAAAAAACCTGACCCTTTGCGATGCCAAAATATAGGTATCGATAGATTGTAGTACCGTGAAAGTGCATATGTGTATAACAATACTATTAAGTATGGTTTTAATATACTGATTACAAAATCAATATAAATACCAATAAAAACAATATTCATAGATTTAATTACCGTGTTGAATTGGTAACCTTTTAAAATAAGTGAATATAAAGGATCGATAAGTTTACCCCGAAAGTATCCAACGCTAATTGACATCTAAACGTCACTTTAGACAAGGGCATATCGAACGAGTTGGGATATATAAATAGAAAAGTAAAATAACAAAAACTCCGATCTCCCAGGGACATTCAAAACGGAAAGTCCTTTATAGAATGGCAAAATCAAAAGCTCAAACACATCTAACGAATGGAAAACAACAGTCATATTCCTGACTTGGTAAAAGCATTTCCTTATGTTGAAAATGGTGGATTAAACCTAGTTGTATAGCTTGCTAAACCTCTCACGTGTATGACAGTCAACGTCCAAAAAAGATAAATTACAAAATTAATCCTGGTATCTATGATGAGTTTATTTATTAACAATGAGGAAAGAAAAATCTGTCCTTTTGTAGTAAACTTTTGTATATCGTTTTCGTGTAAAACTGAAAAATCTAAACCTAGTAAAGTTGTGTTGTTAACATTTGATTTATTTAAAATAAATTCCTTTGCATATATGTTGGCAGTATATTTAGAGAATTTTTGATTATTTAACGAAAAAAATATCATCAAGATGTCGGTAAAAGTTGTTGAATTTATCAATTAAATTGAATATAGACGTGTCTTTTTCTAAGTTTGGCCATAAACTGCGATTCATAACAGTACAGGAACAAGTCTACTGTTAAGGGGCACAATGGGTGCTCATACGAATACCTTCTCATATATATTACACAAATAACTTCATGATAAACTTGTTTCCTAACCAAAACTTTAACCTGACACGTGACGGATGGACGGAAAGATATAGCCTAAAAAAATACACCTCTAGTAACGTAGGTTGGGCATATAAAATTAAACAATATGAACCTTTTTAAGTATTTTATCGAATATATTTACGATTTAATAGTTTCTTTTTCCAATTTTTTTTCTTTTTGTTCATTTTATAAAATGTATTGGTTTAAATGAGACAATCTTTTTTTATTCTTCATTTTGATTTTAATTCTATCCATTTATGATTTGAGGGTGAACTGAACAAAAACACTAATGAATAATTCGAATGTTACTGTCGGTATATAGAATCTGATAATTTCATTGTAATAAAAGAGAAAGTTCAAAATATGTTCTCATCTTTAATCGTGTAATAGGCGTTTATTAGTAAAAAGGAACAATAAGACCACTTGTAAAAATATACCTTTATCTACAACAACAAAAACTGTAACCTGAAGATTTTTGTAATTTTCAGGTTAAGGCGTTACTAATTGAAGTATACAATAAAAGCACTTCTGATGCACAATATTGTATAATATTATTTCCTTTAGCTTTCGGCAATGTTTACTTAGCTAATATTAATCTTGAAAATTCGAAATTCTACCAATACTGAATCGGCATGTAGTTTTTTTGTTTTGTTTTTCTTTATGTATGATTGTATTTATGCCCATCCATTTTCTACCTGAAACCATAGGCATTACAAGTAAAAGATAAGAAATATTAAAATGTAAATATAACAATTTATAAAATGGACTATTAAAAACCTGTCATTCTGTTAATATACTAGAAGCAAATCTTGTGAGATCGATTTAAAACTTGAAATATTCTTCCAAAGAGACTGTAAGGTTAAGCTACGGATTCCATTGAGGACTACGCCAGAGCATGGGCTAAACGAGAAGAAGTTAAACTAGACACTTTTTTAGAATGGGTCAAAATAGTCAGGTCTCTGATAAAACGTCGAATTCATAACTTGAAAAACTGTGTGAATGATCGACCAAAGTCTTCAGTTTTCAGAGACAAAGAAGCTGTGAAAGGTCTGTCATCTCTTCACGACAAATATGTTGTTGTTCCTGCGAAAAAAGCTTCAAATAATATTGTCTTTGTATGTCAATCATACTACTACCAGTGTATAACAAACAGGAATTTTGAGCTTAAAATCTTATGTGTTTAATAATATCTTATATATGTCCAAGAAGTGTATTTTGGAAAGTATTGAAAACTTAAACGGATACGTTGGATATGATAACAACTAGATTTATCGAAATCATTGCAACAAATAGTGTTTGGTTTCTAAAAGTATTTGGCTGAGATAAGATAAATAAGTAGTCGAACAGTACCCGAATACAGCAAGTGCGAATTTTATGAAGTTTCTTGTGTGAATAAGGGATTTTATAGTTGAAAATTGGAAGTTTTCAGTAACAGCTTCATATCAGTTACTGAAGAAATGTGTTCATCTGCAATCTCATCCTCAGTATATGTAGTTGGTGTAAACGTACTAAAATTTATTATCTTACTTAAGTTTGTGTATAGTTTCTGTTTCTTTTCAGAAAAGGCTCTTTTCTAAATATAATCTATGCAATGCTCAGTTTCAGAAATACCATGTAAGAATGAGCCTTGTTACAATGGTGGAACGTGCATTGAAGTGGGTGAATCGTTTAACTGTCTTTGTCCTTTTGGTTACAGTGGCAGTAAGTGTGAAGGTAAGATGATCTTATACAAACGTTTTTGTATGGCTGTTCCACAGAAAAGTATTACTGATGTTAGGAAGGTTATACATTTTAGTAACCGTTTTTACTGTTTTGCATAATACCATGAATATCGGATGCAAGATGAGTAACACTTTGTTTTACGTCTTATCACCGGGTTCGTACTTACATCAGAAACACAAAAGGTGCCACATTTGGAGTAGGAACTGCTTACTCTTCCGGAGCACTTGAGATCACCCAGGTTTTTTGTGGGGTTCGTGTTGCTCAGTCTTTGTTTGGCTGTGTTATATTATTTATACTTTTGGTCTTTTTGTTTTTTGCCATGGCGTAGTCAGTTTATTTTAGACTAGTGAGTTTGAATGTCTCTTTGGTATCTGTCGCCTTTCTTTATGAACTTAATAGTCTAGAGAAACCGTTATCAAGGACGCAATACACTGAATATTTTGACATAATCAACGTAAAACTTTCGAATTAAGGACAATCCAAGATATCTGAACAGAATAGCCAATTCAATTTTAATTTTTGCTGTCCTGCTATTAGATTTAACATCTATTCACATTGTTAATCAAGTGAAAAATCAACATCCAGTAACATTACTCAACTGACAAAGAAAAACCAAGGAAGAAAAGGAACTCGATAATCATAATTTCAAGTTTCAATAGTTAATACTTCCATACTGAACGGATCTGAACATAATCCGACAAATTTGAACGATATTTTTTATATTTGGTCTGATTTCGTCCAAAACATCTTAATCGAACGCTAGAACATTTCGACTTGTTACTCTTGACATAACTGAACGGACTGAACTTCACGATCGGAACGACGTCCGAAAGTCTGAAAAAGTCTGAACGTTTTTCGTTTGCGGTAAATTCAGTGGTTTAAAAATTGATAAGACCAAACTGGCCGTTTCAGACTGCAATCTTGCTACTAGTCCATGGAAAGAATAAATGGATTTCGACATAATCATTCAAGTTTCAATAGTAAATAATGAACAATTAATCTCCATAGTATTTCAAAATCGAAAGTATATCATAACACAATAAATATATTTGTAAACATATCATATTTTTAAGTAGTTGTTGGTATTTTATTTATGTGTAAGAAATAACAGAAACTTGAAAAATTATGTAAGATAATAGCTAAATCAAATCAAACTTTGTCTTACAGATTCCTCATGTTCTACTGAACCGTGCCTCAATAATGGATCATGCATAGTAAATGGAACATCATACGTCTGTTCTTGTCAGGATGGTTATAATGGAACACAATGTGAAGGTACAAAATAAATATTAAAAAAACGATGCACTACAAAGTTCGACACATACATTTAAAAAATTAAACTAACTAACGGTGACGATCTTCTGATTGGTGAATCGATTTCAATATAGAAACATATAGAATTAAAAAGAGGAAATTGTAATGGCATTAAATAGAGTCAGACGAGATGGGTCGATAGGGTATTAGTCTCATGTTATGTATGCATTCCTATGGCGTATACATGGGATAAATATGCCTAGGTAAATGTTTGAATAATTTTTATTTACTATTATATTTAAACGGACACTGTGACTTCTAGTTTTTATAGTACAGAATCAATATAGGCACATCGGACCATTTCAAAAGAAGTCGATTGAATTACAATCGTTAATGATTTCGTATTTTTAATGTTAAACATTATATGTTATATTTTTTGTAGAAACTCCTTGTTCAAACCAACCTTGTCTAAACAATGGATCCTGTGAAATACTTGTAGCATCTAATGTTTGCTTCTGTCCAAATGGGTACAATGGAACAAAGTGTGAAGGTTCTTTTTTCAACTTAATTAGTACCCTTATTCTACTTATTAAAGTACGGCTTTTTCTAAAAACATGGCAGGGTTTTAAGGTTAAAACATGGTAAATAAAGGTAACAGTAGTATACCGCTGTTCAATAGTCATCAGTCGATTAAGTGAAAAGAAATCCGGGTTACAAACTAAAACCGAGGGAAACACATCGAAACACATCAACTATAAGAGGAAAACAAACGGAACAACAGAAACACTGTAATGCAACAAATACAAACGCCAACATACATAGAAACGAACTATTTGATAATAACTGCCATATTCCTGACTTGGCACAGGACATTTTAAGAACAAATGATGGGTTGAACCTGGTTTTATGGTTAGCCAAACCTCCCGCTTATATGGCAATGTTAAAAATGCCGCTAAAATGACAACACCACGTGACAGGAACACAGCACAAACAAACGCAAGAACACCAAGCACAGAGAAACACATAAACAAACAATACAGTAGCACATTACAACATGCAAACCGCAGAACAACAACGGACACCTCCCATAAATCCACGATAGCACAGCACACCACAAACAAAGCACAAACTGCGCGTCACATGAATGGATCAACGCCACAAAAAGCGACGTATCTTTGTGACGTTCATATTATCACAGGCATATTTCAAAAAATAAAATATAGACCCGTACAAGACTATTAAATTGGGACTGCGCTTACAATGGTACCACTTCATGCATCCTCCAACCATGACATGAATACCAAAAAGGTACCGTGTCTGCAATGGCGCCACCATCCGCACCCTCTAACCATGTCGGTCATTCCTCCAAATCAAAACCGCGCACAAACAAAACAATCCTAAGCATACAGTTGCTTCAAACCTCGACTATACTGACAAATAAGACATATGTGAAATGCACCGAAAATACAGAATTCAAACCTCAAACGATAAGACATAACACAATATCTAATGGAACTTACAAAATAAACATCATAACTAAATACATGAATGTTGGATGTATAAATACCGAGACACGTCGTATAGCAATGCGAATTCACACTCGGCAAAACAGTCATATTCGGGAATAGGTCACGTTCGGTACTTAGCAGACCAGACGACGTAGATGGTAAACCACAATCTAAGACGTGGTCAAAATGTCATTAGTTAGTTTAGACACAGACACATCGTATAGATCAACCAAATTTGTGATGGTGTCCATAAAATTTACGGAGTGACTTTTTTCCTCATAACTCTGTCGGAGCAGTATCTGCGTAGCGAGCACACTCCTGCATATGAAGTCCGTATAGTGTAAACATGCCCGAGCATAACGTATCAATTGAGACTTGTAAACACCGTATGACGGGGCAGAGGGCATCTTCATGCTGCGAAATAGGAAATTGATAATTGGGAATTTGAAATCATCCCGTTTGTCATAGATTTTAGTGTGAAGTCGTCCATTTGTGTCAATATTGAGGAAAAGATCAAGGTATGAAAAAGTCCTTCTATTATCGGTAGTATCCTTAATTTCAAGTTCACTGTGATATATGAGATGCAGGTACTGACTGAAATATGGGTTATTCAGTGATAGGAAATCATCAATATATCTAAAAGTAAAATTAAAGAATTTCGCACGGTGCTTTTTTTTTTTTGTCTTTTAGAAGATTCTGAATGAATTCTGCTTCATACGAGTACAAAAACAAATATCGAAGAGATTTAATGTAAAAAGAAGAAGATATGGTATGATTGCCAATGAGACAACTCTCCACAAAAGACCAAACGACACAGAAATTAACAACTATAGGTCACCGTACGGCCTTCAACAATAAGTAAAACCCATACCGCATAGTCAGCTGTAAAAGGCCCCGAAATGACAAATGCAAAACAATTCAATCTAGAACGTTATTTAAATATTGTATGAATGAAAATATAAAATATAATTTTTTGAAAATCAATTTCGTCTTAAAAGATATGTTTTATATGAATTAAAGTCCAATAATCTCTCATTCGAAACGCATTCTTTGACATTTTAAACTTCTATAATTAAACATATATTTTACTGCTAGATTTGTTATTGGTGTTCTTATAACATAAGAAAAATTATGATAACATTTATTAACTTTTTTAAGCAGGTATTACCCAGCCTGGCTTTAATTTAAATCTACACTTAAGTGTTTATCTTTTTCACTTTAAATATGTACACTCTGTTATATAGAAAGAAAAATATGTATCCTACTTTTATCGAAAAAAGATTGCAAGAAATTGATAGATTAACATGTGGTCGGCGTTTTGTTTTAAAATTGGCATACATTCGATGACGCATATTTATAATATTTCAGTAACACCGTGCTTTGGTGATCCTTGCTTAAATGGAGGAACTTGCACAGTTAGTGAATCTTCTTACTTGTGTTCCTGTATAACAGGCTACACTGGCCTATCATGTGAAGGTAAGTACTCAATAAAAAAGAGTTATTGTAATAATGGTAATCATGGTAACCTTAACTGTCCACTACGAAATGTCAATGTTCAAAATGACTTACCTGTATGTTCTATTTTACATATGTCACAAATGATGCTGAATTATGTGGCATTTGAATTAGTTAAAAATGTGTGACATCTCTCATTCATACTGTAGAAGCAAATATAATCAATAGACGAATATTAGATTTAACATCTATTCACATTGTTAATCAAGTGAAAAATCAACACCCAGTAACATTACTCAACTGACAAAGAAAAACCAAGGAAGAAAAGGAACTCGATAATCATAATTTCAAGTTTCAATAGTTAATACTTCCATACTGAACGGATCTGAACATAATCCGACAAATTTGAACGATATGTTTTATATTTGGTCTGATTTCGTCCAAAACATCTTAATCGAACGCTAGAACATTTCGACTTGTTACTCTTGACATAACTGAACGGACTGAACTTCACGATCGGAACGACGTCCGAAAGTCTGAAAAAGTCTGAACGTTTTTCGTTTGCGGTAAATTCAGTGGTTTAAAAATTGATAAGACCAAACTGGCCGTTTCAGACTGCAATCTTGCTACTAGTCCATGGAAAGAATGAATGGATTTCGACATTATCATTCAAGTTTCAATAGTAAATAATGGACAATTAATCTCCATAGTATTTCAAAATCGAAAGTATATCATAACACAATAAATAAATTTGTAAACATATCATATTTTTAAGTAGTTGTCGGTATTTTATTTATGTGTAAGAAATAACAGAAACTTGAAAAATTATGTAAGATAATAGCTAAATCAAATCAAACTTTGTCTTACAGATTCCTCATGTTCTACTGAACCGTGCCTCAATAATGGATCATGCATAGTAAATGGAACATCATACGTCTGTTCTTGTCAGGATGGTTATAATGGAACACAATGTGAAGGTACAAAAAAAATATTAAAAAAAACGATGCACTTCAAAGTTCGACACATACATTTAAAAATTTAAACTAACTAACGGTGACGATCTTCTGATTGGTGAATCGATTTCAATATAGAAACATATAGAATTAAAAAGAGGAAATTGTAATGGCATTAAATAGAGTCAGTCGAGATGGGTCGATAGGGTATTAGTCTCATGTTATGTATGCATTCCTATGGCGTATACATGGGATAAATATGCCTAGGTAAATGGTTGAATAATTTTTATTTACTATTATATTTAAACGGACACTGTGATTTCTAGTTTTTATAGTACAGAATCAATATAGGCACATCAGACCATTTCAAAAGAAGTCGATTGAATTACAATCGTTAATGATTTCGTATTTTTAATGTTAAACATTATATGTTATATTTTTTGTAGAAACTCCTTGTTCGAACCAACCTTGTCTAAACAATGGATCCTGTGAAATACTTGTAGCATCTAATGTTTGCTTCTGTCCAAATGGGTACAATGGAACAAAGTGTGAAGGTTCTTTTTTCAACTTAATTAGTACCCTTATTCTACTTATTAAAGTACGGCTTTTTCTAAAAACATGGCAGGGTTTTAAGGTTAAAACATGGTAAATAAAGGTAACAGTAGTATACCGCTGTTCAATAGTCATCAGTCGATTAAGTGAAAAGAAATCCGGGTTACAAACTAAAACCGAGGGAAACACATCGAAACACATCAACTATAAGAGGAAAAAAAACGGAACAACAGAAACACTGTAATGCAACAAATACAAACGCCAACATACATAGAAACGAACTATTTGATAATAACTGCCATATTCCTGACTTGGCACAGGACATTTTAAGAACAAATGATGGGTTAAACCTGGTTTTATGGTTAGCCAAACCTCCCGCTTATATGGCAATGTTAAAAATACCGCTAAAATGACAGCACCACGTGACAGGAACACAGCACAAACAAACGCAAGAACACCAAGCACAGAGAAACACATAAACAAACAATACAGTAGCACATTACAACATGCAAACCGCAGAACAACAACGGACACCTCCCATAAATCCACGACAGCACAGCACACCACAAACAAAGCACAAACTGCGCGTCACATGAATGGATCAACGCCACAAAAAGCGACGTATCTTTGTGACGTTCATATTATCACAAGCATATTTCCAAAAATAAAATATAGACACGTACAAGACTATTAAATTGGGACTGCGCTTACAATGGCACCACTTCATGCATCCTCCAACAATGACATGAATACCAAAAAGGTACCGTGTCTGCAATGGCGCCACCATCCGCACCCTCTAACCATGTCGGTCATTCCTCCAAATCAAAACCGCGCACAAACAAAACAATCCTAAGCATACAGTTGCTTCAAACCTCGACTATACTGACAAATAAGACATATGTGAAATGCACCGAAAATACAGAATTCAAACCTCAAACGATAAGACATAACACAATATCTAATGGAACTTACAAAATAAACATCATAACTAAATACATGAATGTTGGATGTATAAATACCGAGACACGTCGTATAGCAATGCGAATTCACACTCGGCAAAACAGTCATATTCGGGAATAGGTCACGTTCGGTACTTAACAGACCAGACGACGTAGATGGTAAACCGCAATCTAAGACGTGGTCAAAATGTCATTAGTTAGTTTAGACACAGACATATCGTATATCATAACTCTTTCGGAGCAGTATCTGCGTAGCGAGCACACTCCTGTATATGAAGTCCGTATAGTGTAAACATGCCCGAGCATAACGTATCAATTGAGACTTGTAAACACCGTACGACGGGGCAGAGGGCATCTTCATGCTGCGAAATAGGAAATTGATAATTGGGAATTTGAAATCATCCCGTTTGTCATAGATTTTAGTGTGAAGTCGTCCATTTGTGTCAATATTGAGGAAAAGATCAAGGTATGAAAAAGTCCTTCTATTATCGGTAGTATCCTTAATTTCAAGTTCACTGTGATATATAAGATGCAAGTACTGACTGAAATATGGGTTATTCAGTGATAGGAAATCATTAATATATCTAAAAGTAAAATTAAAGAATTTCGCACGGTGCTTCTTTTTTTTTGTCTTTTAGAAGGTTCTGAATGAATTCTGCTTCATACGAGTACAAAAACAAATATCGAAGAGATTTAATGTAAAAAGAAGAAGATATGGTATGATTGCCAATGAGACAACTCTCCACAAAAGACCAAACGACACAGAAATTAACAACTATAGGTCACCGTACGGCCTTCAACAATAAGTAAAACCCATACCGCATAGTCAGCTGTAAAAGGCCCCGAAATGACAAATGCAAAACAATTCAAACTAGAACGTTATTTAAATATTGTATGAATGAAAATATAAAATATATAATTTTTTGAAAATCAATTTCGTCTTAAAAGATATGTTTTATATGAATTAAAGTCCAATAATCTCTCATTCGAAACGCATTCTTTGACATTTTAAACTTCTATAATTAAACATATATTTTACTGCTAAATTTGTTATTGGTGTTCTTACAACATAGGAAAAATTATGATAACATTTATTAACTTTTTTAAGCAGGTATTACCCAGCCTGGTTTTGATTTAAATCTACACTTAAGTGTTTATCTTTTTCACTTTAAATATGTACACTCTGTTATATAGAAAGAAAACTATGTATCCTACTTTTATCGAAAAAAGATTGCAAGAAACTGATAGATTAACATGTGGTCGGCGTTTTGTTTTAAAATTGGCATACATTCGATGACGCATATTTATAATATTTCAGTAACACCGTGCTTTGGTGATCCTTGCTTAAATGGAGGAACTTGTACAGTTAGTGAATCTTCTTACTTGTGTTCCTGTATAACAGGCTACACTGGCCTATCATGTGAAGGTAAGTACTCAATAAATAAGAATTATTGTAATAATGGTAATCATGGTAACCTTAACTGTCCACTACGAAATGTCAATGTTCAAAATGACTTACCTGTATGTTCTATTTTACATATGTCACAAATGATGCTGAATTATGTGGCATTTGAATTAGTTAAATATGTGTGACATCTCTCATTCATACTGTAGAAGCAAATATAATCAATAGACGAATATTTATATATCATGAATAATTATATGGCTGTGCTATATGAATAGAAAATACTTATTTGTTCACAACTACTGTATTTACACATAGTTTTCTCCTTCCAGAAGTCTAGATTTCTGTACATTGTTATTTTGATTATTGATTATTTGTTTGTCTTTCTCCTTTGTCCATGTTTATGTCTGGTTTTTCTTATTTGTGATATTTAATTACTCCCTTGAAATCGTTTTTTTTTGTATTCACTAGCCTGAACCTCATGAAAGGAGAAAATCTTTAAATTAGCGTTCAGTTCATCTATACAGATTATTATATAAACAGGTCCAAAATATTATCTTTAAATTTAAAAAAGAATAATCAAAAAAATATATGTTTTAAAAATAATCATAGTTTTAAAGACACTTGGTATATATTTTGTTCGGCGAAATAATTCGGAATCGTAAATTTCACAGATTTATACACCTATATTTATTCCTAGTTTTCCTTGAATCACAAACATTCCAAAACTTTGGTGCCGTTTGGTGTATGTCCGCGCATGTGAATCAAGTCCAATAATCTTCCATTCGTCACGCATTCTTTGTTTTTTTTAACTCCTATTACAAAACATATATTCTAATGCCTGATTTGTTTAGTTGTTTTCGTATAACATCACAAACCTATGATCACATTTATTAACTAGGTTTTTTCAAGCAGGTATCACATCTACCTGGCTTAAATTAAAATCTGTACTTAAGTGTTTATTTATTTAACTTTAAATTTGCACTCAATTTAATTAAACCATTGGCGTGACGTCAGCCTATTCATTAACCGTGGATTCTTTTTTCTAGAATCAACGCTTCCTATATCTGTCGCTGAAATGGAATCACCAAATTGTATTCATTGTTTCATTTGTGTGCCTAATTTCATTAAGTTTCAATCAGCTAATTAACTAATTTCTGTTCACTAAAGGAATTAATTTAAAAACTTACCTTAAACTTTAGTAATTTTTATATGCCTTCACTGGGAATCGAACCCCTCCTTGAAATATGTTATGTGTGACTGACATCAACTCATCGACGAAACCTCTCGGCTACCAATGGGTTGCAATTTAGAGGTCTATTTCATAAATATAAATGAACATATGATACATATCGGTACAACGAACACACAGGGCTTGTACCTTTATATATACATACTAGACAATCGTATTGTATAAGTTGGTAGCTGCGAGGTTAAGATCAATGAGTTATAGAGTCAAGTTAGAAGTAGAGACTTGTCGGTGTAGGTTCGAATCCCTGTTTTCTCTTTGTTGTCCCTTTTCTTTAGTTTTTTCGTTTTTCTTATTTTGTATGTTATAGTGGAATTTTTTTAACAATAGCGGGGTTTCCTGTTTATTTTTTTATTATTATTAGCTATTTCAGTTATTTGAAAAGAATATGATAACATTCAATTTGTTCATTTTTGTTTTATTAATATAGTATGATTTTATCTGTCTTACTACATATCTTCACAAATGCGAGTAAATCATGATGTGCCTAGAATTAGGTTTCTTGCTAGAAATTTCGGTAACAGACTTATTATATGTACTTAGAAATAAGTTATAATATGTCTTATTTTGTAAATTACTGATAATATGCAGATGCATAATAATTTAAAGACAGACGTGTAATGTTATATTTGTATTTCTCTTACCAATTAATTATGAACTTGTTTATTAATGCATCGTTGAACATGATAACAGGGCTATTTAAACTCACTTACAATAACTTCTAATTAAGAAAAGGCTTTAATTGTGAAAAGACATCAACACTGTAGTTTAAGTTAGAGATACAAGGAATAAGTGCTGATTCATGAAAAACAAACCGTTCGCCCTCCGCTTAATAATTGTATCTATAATAAAGATTAATGAAACTATGTATTTTACTCTGATGGGAACAAATATTGCAGACAATTAATGAACGAAGTGTACTGTTCTAGTGGTCGTATTTCTGTTTTAATAATGACATACACTCCATGATACATATTTATGATTTTTCAGTTACACCTTGCTTTGGTGATCCTTGCTTATACGGAGGAACTTGTACAGTTAGCGGATCTTCTTACTTGTGTTCCTGTTTACCAGGCTTCTCTGGCATATCATGCGAAGGTAAGTATTTGATAAATAAGTGAAATGTGATAATAATAGACATTATAACGCTAACTGTTCAATACATGATAATAATGTTCAAACAATCTGATCAAAATAGAGATCATGCGAATAAGCTTTGCTTACAAGGATCTGGAAAAATTCTGCTTCACTTTCTGTTTTGGTAATAATTATATCAGCCAATAAAATTGCAACCTACAAATTTTTGAAAGAGTGTTTTAATTCGATAAAATCAAAGGATCTCGAAAGGTCATTAAAACAGAAAATATCCGCGCATGTGATTCAAGTCCAAAAGTCTCCCATTCGTAACCCACTCTTTGACATTTTAAGTTCCTATTACTAAACATATATTTAAATGCCTGATTTTTTATTCGTAACGCATTTTTTGACTTTTTAAACTCCTATTATCAAAGGCAACAGTAGTATACGGCTGTTCAAAAGACATAAATCGATTATGAGAAAACAAATCCGGGTTACAAACTAAAACCAAGGGAAACACATTAACAATAAGAGGAAAACAACGGAACAACAGAAATACTAAACTGCAACAAAAACAAACGCCAACTAACATAGAAACGGACTATTTGATAACAACTGCCATATTCCTGACTTGGTACAGGACATTTTAAGAAAAAATGGTGGGATTAAACATATATTCTAATGCCTGATTTGTTTTTTTTTTTGTGTTCACATTTATTGACTCGTGTTTTCCAAGCATGTATCACATATGCCTGGCTTGAATTAAAATCTGTATTAAAGTGTTTATATCTATTTAACTTTAGATTTGCACACACTTTTAAAATGAATGAAAATATGTATTCTACTTTGATGGGGAAAAACTATTGCCGAACATTAATGAACAAATTGTACTGTTCACGTGTTTGTTGTTTTGTTTTGAAAATGGCATACATTCAATGACATATCTATCCGACAAAATCAGAGGATCTAGAAAGGTTTTTAAAACAGAAAGAAGAACGGAGCGTTTTCAGATCCTTGTAAGCAAAGCTTGAACACACAGGGTCTGTATTTTAATCAGATTGGTGTTATAATGACATATCTATATGACGATAGTTTTTGTGTCATTTGAAAAGGTTAAAAGTGTGTGCGACATTCTTCGTTCATATTTCAGAACCAAATATGATCAATGGACGACTTTGTATATCTTATGAAAAAACATAATGGTTGTAATATATGGATAGAAAATACGTATTTGTTAACAACTCCTGGTTTTACAACTAGTTTTCTCCTTCCAGACATCCAGATTTCCGTGCATTGTTATATGGAATATTTTTTATTTGTTCATCATTCCCTTATAGTCATGTTAATGGCTGGTTTTCCTTTTTTGTGATATTTGATTACTCCCTTGAAATTTTAGTTTTATCAATTCACTAGCCTAAACCTCGTGAAATAAAAATCTTTAAGAAAGCGTTCATTTCTTTTATGCAGATTATCATATAAACAAGTTAGAAATAATATCTTCAAATTAAAAAAACTGATTCATAAAATATTTGTTTTGAAAATGATCATTATTTTGATGAACACTCGGTACATTTTGTTCGGTGAAATTATTCGAAAAGGGAAATTTCAAAGATTTATAAACCTCCATAAAATCTTAATACCCTTTATATCGCAAACATCCAAAACTTTGGTACCTTTCGATCTATGTCCGCGCATGTGATTAATGTCCAATAATCTCCCATTCGTAGCGTATACTTTGACATTTTTAAGTTCCTATTACTAAACATATATAGGTTTAATCCACCATTTTCTACATAAGAAAATGCCTTTGTAATATTGTTGTATTTGTTAACGTATAACATCACAAACATTTAAGTATAAATTTTCATAAACTTTTAAAATGAACGAAAATATGTATTCTACTTTGAAAGAAAAAAGTATTGCAGACAATTAATAAACGAATTGTACTGTTCAAGTGGTCACCTTTTTGTTTAAAAAAAATACATTCGATGACACATATTTATGCTTTTTCAGTTACACCTTGCTTTGGTAATCCTTGCTTATATGGAGGAACTTGTACAGTTAGCGGATCTTCGTACTTGTGTTCCTGTTTATCTGGCTACACTGGCATATTATGTGAAGGTAAGTATTTAATAGATAAGAATAATTATAATAATGGTAAAAAATATAAGGCTTACTGTCCACTACAGTATAGTTGTGTTCAAATGGTATATCTTCATGTTCAATTCTACATATGTCACAATTGTTTTTCATACGTTTCGTTGATTGGTTAGTATGATTTTGTAAGTTTTTATTTACTTCCCCTTTTTGGTTTACTTGGAGTTCGGTATTTTTGATATATTTTTTCACAGATGGCGCTGATTAATGTGCCATTTGAATACGTTTAAAGTGTGTGTGACATCCCTCATTCATATTTTAGAACCAAATATGATCAATGAACTAATCTTTATATCTTATGAACACCACTATGATTGTGATATATGGATAGAAAATTAAGATATAATTCATGGCAGCTGTAGATTTGTTTTCATTTAACCATGGGTTGTTCATTTATATTCAATTATTTTATTCGGAACGATAGCGAGGGGTAAAATACGAATATAAATGCCCATGAAAACAAATCCACCACTGCCATGAATTATTTCTTAATTTTCTGTCCATATATCAAAACCATGATGGTTTTCACGGCTGCCATGAATTATTTCGATGCTTATAGGACAATTACGGTAATTTTGTCAATCATGAAAGCCCGATACACATTATAATGTTTTGGCTCTTTAGCCTGAAAACGACCGGTTGTATACATACGATAGATGCAAAAGACGATAAAATCTTTTTGGCGGGATTTCTGTTTAATGGAATTTTACACCGAAATAATAACTCAAATGGACTGATTTGTTTATTTTAAATATATGAATAGAAGTAGCTGTTTTGTATTTGAAGCTTGACCTACGTTAAACGTGGGTTTTACACTCGCAAATTGAGTTTACCGGGTCGTATAAACAAGGTTGGCGTAACGCAGAATAGCAAATTTTGTGAATTTATGCGTTTGCACTAAAAGAAATTATACTGTGATTATACTGGTTAACGATATATAGGTCGTCATATTAGAATACTTATTAGTTCACCACTCCTGGATTTACACCTAGTTTTATTAGTTTTCTCTTTTCAGATCTCTAGATTTTCGAGCATAGTTATTTGAATTATTGCTTATTTGTTCGACTTTCTCGTTTCAGCCATGTTAGTGTCTGGGTTTCCTTATTTGTGATATTTGTTTACTCCTTTGAAATCTGTTTTTATTTGTGCACTATCATTAACCTCGTGAAAAGAAAAAGGCTTAATAAAAGCGTTCAGTTCATCTATGCAGATTATTAAATTAACAGGTCCGAGATATTATCTTTAAATTAAACAAAAGTATGCATAATCATTATTTTGACGAACACTTGGTATATTTTGTCTGGCAAAATCATTCGGAAAGGTTCATTTCAAATATTCAGTCCTAGTTCTCCTAGAATCGAAAGCATTCCAAAACATTTGTACCTTTTGATCTATATCCGCACATGTGATTCAAGTATAATAATCTCCTATTTGTAATGCATTTTTTGAGGTTTTAAGTTCCTTTTACTGAACATATATTCTAATGCCAGATTTTATTTTCGAAGCAGGTATCACATCTGCCTGGCTTTAATTAAAATCTGTACTGAAGTGTTTATTTTTTTTTCAACTTTTAATTTGCACACACTTTTTTAGAATGAATGAATATATGTATTCTACTTTGATAGAATAAATATTGCTGAAAATTAATGAACAAATGTACTGTTCACGTGTTCGGATTTTTGATTTTTAAAATCACATCCGTTCGATGACGAATATTTATGATTTTTCAGTTACACCGTGTTCTGGTAATCCTTGCTTAAACGGGGGAACTTGTACAGTTAGTGGATCTTCTTACTTGTGTTCCTGTTTACCGGGATATACTGGCATATTATGTGAAGGTATGTGGCGTTGATCCATTATTGTGACGCGCACTTTGTGGTGTCCTGGGCTGTCGTTAATTTATGGGAGATGTCCGTTGGTATTCTACGGTTTACATGTTGTAATGTACTATTATATTTTGCGTTTATGTGAATTTACAGGGTAAAATCAAATCCATAAGGAGAGTCCCACAATATCATATAAATTCGTTTTGAGTTCGACATATTTTATATACGTTTTATTGAACCCTGCATAGTGAGTACTAGATATTCTTTATTTTTTGTGTTGTTAACTTGTCTTGTGTGCTATATCGTCAGTATGATTTTACCATTTTTACGGGAGTTATGGGACTTTCACTAGTTTTGTGTATTATTGTGACAAAACACCTTGTGATCAAAAACCTCGTTTATAGAATGCTCTCATATTTGGTAAGATTGTTTGCCATCATGTAAAGTTGACCATATTTTTGCATCATTTTGATATAACCATTTTATTAGAAGTTATGGAACTTTTTACAAAATTTTGACTATCGTACTTCAATGACACATTGTGACACTTAATGTAACTCCTCTTCTATACAGCAAGGGGAATTGGCTAAATGTGACGTTATTTCTGTTTAGAAAGATAAATATACAGATATATTGGAATCAACGAGGAAGAATTTATATTGATCTGTATAAATACTGATTCAGAAAAATGATGAACCAATCTACAACAATATGAATACACCCTTTAACAAACATGTTCATACACTGACTTTTAAGAATGAAATAAGGTAGTTAAAAACCACACTGCAATGAAAGCAATCAATAATGTGTCTTCCTTAATTATCAATTAAACATCAATTGAATATACTTTATTGTATTCAACAACAACCACATGTCATTAAGCGTCTCTTCTTTTTTCATAATAAAACTATTTCTCATTTCCAGATTATCTTCCATTTTGTTGTAACTGTGAAATGGGGAATGACTGTGCTGACAACACAACATGTGCTAGTGGAACATACGAACTACATTTAACAAATATTTCTGAAGTATATTGTGATATGGAAATAGACAACGGTGGTTGGATTGTGAGTTGCATATAATCAGTCGTATTAATTTTAAGCAAAGTGTTTAACGCTCAATAATATAATCAAGTGTTTAAAGCAAGTTTGTATCATAGTAATTTTTTAATATACAATTTGCTCATTCCAAAATACATATAATGTCTCAGACAAATGTTATAAAGGTATAACCAGGGTAAAAATCTATTAAGGAGATGTAATTTGATTGTCAATAACACAAATATTCATCAAAGACCAATAGACAAGCAAGTTTTGTATCCACAATAGAAGTACTATTGACCAGTGTGCAGTGGGAAGTATAAAAGGGACTACGCGAATACCAAAATATAAAATATCATATTACAACAACTGGTCTTGTTTGCTTAAATCTATATTTCTATTGCTCTTTAAATTTTTTCCTATTTATCCCGCCAAAAAAACTTCATAACAATTATTCGTAAGATCTTTTTATTTTCTTTGTCGTAAGTATGTAAAAAGTAAAATAACATCACATGACTTGCATTCGAAAGAAGCAATATTGGGCTTAGACATTCTACGCCTACAAAGCAGTTTCCTCATTTTGTGGTTGCCTCAAAGCTTTCAAGTGGTCTCGGGAGAGGTCTTGAATAGTTTTCAATTCTTTTTAACTTTATAAGTCAATGCTCCCGAAATACACAGATAATATGTCTTCTGTGCAACTCTGGAATATTTACATATATGTATATAAATATAGGAAAATTAAAAATAAAATAATGCATGTATAATGATGTTCCCCCGACTGCGTACTATATCAGTATTGTTGTACAAATCTTTAGGCTTAGAGACGTCGTTAATATGTACCGAATCTCATAATATCGCATGTATTTCGTTAAAATCAAAGTAATATTATTATTTCGTTTCAAATTCAGATTAAATCAATTTTGGACGGTATTTATTGAATTATTGCGTACCAGTATTAATGCATTTTCATCTGTTATATATATAAAGCGCGGTTTTTAATTTATATTACTTGCAAGATTGATTTTAGTAATATCAGAAAAAATTGATAAGATTCATTTGACATCATACTGATGAAGAATATCTGTTATCCGAAATATTTATTGGTACTTATATTTACTTGTTACTTTCACTTCTAAGGCAACACCGATACGGCGTCTGCGCAATGCAAGGCGGTATTACCGTAGAAATGAAAAGTAACAAGTACATGTTCTAGCCGCGGTCAGGGAGGAAGTAAAGAATCAGATCTACTCTAACATTATTAAGTGATTTTCTAGGCACTTCATAAATATGCTAACGCCTTGTATTTCTTAATCATAAGAAATCATATGGACAATGTATGATTTGAAGTTGTAACTACAGATAGGCAGACGTATCTATATGTTTATATGATGTATGGATAATTCTATATGGCAGCACCTTTGAAAGACACGAACTTGGTTTTTAAAGTAATATGTGTCTTTATATTTCAAGGTATTTCAAAGACGACTCAACGGTGAAGTAGAATTTTATAGAGATTGGAACTCTTACAAGTACGGCTTTGGTGACCTAGATGGCGAGTTTTGGTTAGGTAATAATTTTTTATCATAACTGTCAGCTAAAATCGAGACAAAGCTGATGAATGGTTATCAAAATTTCTCATTACAAAACAGAAGAAACGTTTCATCCGAAACGAGAGGTCTCGTAGTTAATGTCACTGCATACGGAGATATATAGGCGTATTAAAGTACGGAATGACAATCATTCAAAGCAGTACATTTGTGAAGATTTTAATAAGATAGATGATTTTCTTTTACAAGAAATTCCATGTACACTTGTTTTATAGTAAAAATTAACCATTCAGATATACAAAACATATTCAACTTTTTTTTAAATTTAAAGTTTCCTATGACTATAAAATAAGGCACAAATTTGAGCGCTCCAGATGCGTTTTGTAACAGTATTTGCAAATACAAAACAAATACTTTCAAGGCTTCATATAACCAAAAGCGCGAAAATAAGAACTAAACCCAGACAATGAGTCAAATCTATGAAGGAGATGCACTCCTTAAAATTGGAGTATTTCCAAAATTTTATCACTGTAAATTTCAAAGCAATATACATATTTTTGTCTACAACAGATAAGCATGTAATTTTTATAGTTACACCTTTGTATAATCGTGTTAGATTAAGTTTTCCGTTATTTTTGTTAAAACTATTTATATTAGTCATATTTGCAACATTGTCAATGGGTATCACGTACGATGATTGATTTTTTATTTTTTTTAGACATAAAGATTGACTTTGAAATACCGCGATATTGATTCCTGAACCTTAGCTACCGATCATAATGATGGAATCCTTATGAAACAATTATGTAATGAAAATATTTATATAATACGTTATTTTAGTTATGCTGTTATTAAATAACTTAAAATAATACTTTATAAATGGTATCCCTAGTTAGCCTTCATTTCTAATTTTATAGGGAACGAACTAATACATGAAATAACAAAAGAAGGAAACTACATATTGAGGATAGATTTAGAAGATTTTGAAGGGGAGACGCGGTACGCTCTATATAGCAACTTTTTGATTGAAGATGCTAGTTCGGAATACACAATACGAGTATCAGGTTATTCAGGGACTGCAGGTAAATGAAATACAATTATGTTTAACTGTCTTAGAACATCCAAACACGCACTTTCAATTACGTAGGTTGTCACTGTCAGATAAACCCATTCAAGGAAGTATCTTTTTTCGAATTCATTCAAAAATGAGTTTTAGTTTTGATGACAATGATATACCCAACGGAGTAAGATTCTATTTAATTGCTGATTGCAATGGGGTTTTCCTTTGTTATGCAGTTTAATTTATCAAAAGAACTTATAAGCTACAAAACAATTTTAAATTGATCTTGCCGCCTTTGTTGTCTCGTGGTAGTTTGCTCGTCTCGTGTGCGGGGAAGAAGTCTTGAGTTGGATTACCGGCCAGGTCACATCAAAGACGTCAAATTTGGTCTGTGCTATTTCTCTGCTCAGCACGTGGTATTAAGGAGTATTAGCAAAGACCCGGCTCAGAGTGTCGGCCTAGAACAAAGCAGGCTTTATATTCATATCACATTAATATTTATTGTTCTAAATATGCATCTAATTTGACACTCGATGTTAAACAGCCATCCCTCATCGTCAAATGCATTTCTATCTTTAACTTGATGTTATGTACTTATTGCTTAGATTCAAAGATAATAGAAAATACACTGACTAAAGTACATACGTTTAAGTAAAGGAATGAATAAGATACTGAGAAAGTGAGTGTTCTTTTGGCTGAAAAGAATTCTGCGAAAATAAAAACAATGCATACAAAATACATACAAAAGAGAGAGAATATGCCAACCGGGCATTCAAGAATCATAAAACAAAAATACCAAAACATCACAAAGAAAAACTAAGGACTTGGAAACAAGAACCCCACCAAAAACAATCAATATCATACATTTCTTGTCGGAAGAAATTTTGCTATACGGTTGAACGGATTTCAGCTACGAACAAAACATTGAAATATTCTTGGCAGTTCAAACATTCATACTCAGTAGCAAAAGATTTGTCATATGATTTCAAACATCTTGTTCAACAAGTAATACTTATATCTTAAATAATTGTGTCCGTTCAGAAACATACACTTTATTATTGTATTTCTGATGTAAAATTTTTTTTTCTCTTTTATGTTCACAACCTTATTACATGTATATGTTTTGTTTGTTTTTCTTCTAGTGTAACATTGTTATTTTTTTTTACATTCTACTCCTTGAGTATTACAATATGAAATTTCTTATTTGAATTAGGAAACGGATTAATATAAGCTAACAGCTTGTTTCTGGATCCTATTAATTATTCACTTGTATTAATATGTAAATGCCAATTTGTGTACATTACTTAACCTGAATTTAATTAATAAAATATGTTTACACTAAGACGATGAGGACGAGCTCTTTCATATCCATATAACTATTGACATTGAGACTTCCAAAAAAAAACGATATAAAAGGCTTTCAGTTAGGGAAATAAATAACATAAACACTTTCTCCACATATGAATATCCTTATTTTCATGTCAGTTCCGAAGTACTGTATACTAGACAAATTATAATCTTGGGGACTAATTGTCCACCATCTGAGGTATTGATCAAGTGGTAGTTATTACATAAACAATACCACGTTTACTGCACCAGGTGCAAATTACTACTATTTATGTCTTTTTAGTGACGCACGAAAGCAAATCCACAAAATTATTCAAACGTTGAAGAGTTTTTTACAATGAGATTTGACTTGTTGAAGGTTATGTCACAAGCAACCGATGGAAATACATAATTATATTATTTGTGTTAAACTTACAAAACAAATATGCTAAAGTCTTTATAACGGTCGAGATTATTGATGTACAAAACAAAATGTCAAAAGGCCAAAATCCGCATTCTTGTCTGTATATCGAAAATCACATGTAAAGAATTTTAAAGTATTTATTAAAAACTAATGAAAACATTTTCCGAATGCTCATTATGAAATCAAACTTTTGACACTTGATTCTTCTTACTTTTTTCCAAATAACTTCCAAAATGAAGGAATCGAATTTAAAATACTGACTAAATATCACGTATTCAAATATTTCAATTTCAGGAGATGCAATGGCGTACCAGAATAATATGCAATTCTCAACAAAGGACAGAAATAAAATCAATTGCGCTACATCATATAAAGGAGCATGGTGGTATCAAGGTTGTCACTATAGTAATCTAAATGGTCTGTATCTTAATGGTTCACACTCTACTTTTGCTGATGGCATCGAATGGTACCAATGGAGAGGGCATTACTACTCAATGAAAAAATCACAAATGATGGTCCGCAGAAAAAAGTGATCAGTAGTTACACAAAGATTGCAAATAAATAATTTCCATGTGGTTCGAGAGATGCGGCTCGGACGCATGAAAATTCTACAGTGTTGTTTTGATTTTGTTCAATTTTGTCAATATAACGAAACAATAAACAACTGTCATGTCAGTGGAAGGATTAGCTAGCTTCTTTGGAAATGCATGTACCACATCAGAAATATGACAGTTGTTTACCATTTTCTGCAAAGGTTGATATAGTCATGAGTTTGATTTTGTTAGGTTTTAGGGACTTTTTTACCTAGGAGTTCGGTGATTTTGTTACTCCATTGTATCTTGTAACATAAAACGTGAATTTCATTAGTGTTCTTGTAAATTCTTGTAAATTCGCAGCATTCATACATCTATTACAGTACTGAAATACGGATGCTATCAGACCTATCAACATTAATGTTTTTCATATGGTGTTTAATATTTTAAATAGTTTTAAATTGTTGAATTGATGCAAAAAGTCTTGTAATATGTATATAACATAGATCTTAACAAATAAACTCATTAATTTAAGGTCCTGCTTTCTTTATGAAAGAGCTGAAGAATCATCCTCATTATTTGAGCGGTTTTCTCCAAGGTTTTTGTCTGAGACTTGTATCCGGGATAAAGATTGACAGTTAATTTGTTCTAGTTGTATTGCTGAAACGGTATTATCAATTATTCACATTGAAATTTAGTCAATAATCTAATAATATGAATGTTTCTTTGTTAACCTTCATTCTAACGCTGTATTTTAGGATAGGTCCTTCCAATTTCATCTAAATCTGAAAATAAGAAAACATAATAAGTTTTGTAAAACAAAAATAAATCGATATCTTCGAGTAATGTTTTATGCGATTCCCAGATGATCGAATAAAGAGTGTTTAAGTTATGTTCATATATAATTTTAACATGTATTTTTTTTTTTTTCATTTTTTGCCTATGTGTTTTGTCTTCAGAGTGTCTACCCCCAGTTTTTGGTGGGGTTCGTGTTGCTCAGTCTTTAGTTTATATGTGGTGTGTTGTGTATAATTGTTAATCTGTTGGTCTTTTTTTCTTTTTTAGCCATTGCGTTGTCAGTTTATTTTCGACTTTTGGGTTTGCATTTTCTTATTGTATCTTTCGCCTCTATTTTACATGCCATTTTGTATTTCTTTGTTGACATAGTTGGTTTTTTTATAGTGATTAAGATTATAACACTATGTTGACTGCTGTACCCCATTTTTTTTATATTTTTACCTATTATGTATGTTTTTTTGTTAATAATGGAATTTTATGCGACTTGCATTCAAGTGAGAGGTTTAGCTAACTGTAAGTCCACAATTTTTTACATAATGATATTTGATTTTGCCATTTGTTAAGGTATTTTTCGTTTTGAATTTTTCTTGGAGTTCAATATTTTTGTTATTTTACTTTTTGGTATTATTTTCCATAGATAGAGAAAATAATGAAAATACCTTTCTGAATTAAGTACGAGTGTAAACAAATCATTGGACATGTACATTTGGGGATCTCTGTTTCCAATATTAAATACGACGGTCAGCAAATTCAATTATTTACCTCGATGTATATAGTCCATTAGGTCCGATAAAAGAGGTTTCTGTGAAAAGACAGTTAATAATTATGATCTGTTGACAACGTTTTGAAAGAAACATTTCTTATTCAAGAAAACAAAAACTTTATTTTCACTTTTTAAAAGGATTGCTGTTGCTTTCTGGTGAAAGCCTATTGATTCTAATCTTTGTCTTGTACTTATCAATGAAGATAAAATGTTTCTTTTCTCGATTATAGCTTCTAGACTAAAAAACATTATAAGGGTAATCTGATATGCAATATGATTGTACAATGAGTGTAGACGAAATAAGCATTTCAGGGAAATCAAAAATCGCAAATCTAATTTTCAGAATAAAAGACACTACAATAAATAAAGATATTATTAGGAAGAAGAAACGATATTACAGATGGCATTATACAGAAAAAAAGTATCGAGCAGCTAAAAAAAATAGGATAAAGAGATAACTCAGGGGTATGGATTTCCTTTGACATTGATGACATCCATCTTGTTATGTATGGAATCCAATGAAAGATAATAATCAGTAATGAATTTACGTCTTTGTTCTACCTGATGACTCAAAAGCAAAGATTAAGCAGTAGCAAGTCCACTCAAAGGATACGTGAAAGCTCTATCTAAAATGAGATTCTGATGATACCATTTAGTATATAGAGTTTGGCTTCAAACAAAGTACCAATATGATTTGAAGTATTTACACATAACAGAAAAGTGCCAGCAAGGCATAAATTTGGTCCACAAGTGACTTTGGAATACTATTTCTAGTAACAATATTTTTCACCTAAATATGCAAATTAAGATTTTAGATAAATTCCTATTAGCGACTGTTTTGATAGCTTCAACAAAATGTTTCACTCGTTTTAGCTACATTTCTAGTTAATTTCAATTGTTCAGGAATATTTCTTTCGACCAAAAAAAAAATCGGCCACACTTAACGACACGAAAAGTATCACAAAAATAACGAACGCCAAGGTAAATTCATAAAGGGGGAAGTCCATAAAAACAAACATTAACAAAAGGTATACAACCAACGGTACGATTGAAAAGTAACTTTGTTTAAAAGGATATATAAATATTGATACACATTCTACCTAAGAGTTATATCGTTTAAGGTACAAATGCCGTCTCAAAGAAAACGTTGAAAAATACATTCTAAAATAAATCCAAATTCAGCAAGGCTCCTTATCTTGTAAAAGGTTTTAATATTATCTAGATATGCTTGTTTTTTTATTTCTTAATATATATATCCAATATTAGGACTTGTTAATGCGATTTTGAATATTTAATAAAGATGGAAACTCCAGACCTGTATCGCATACCCTGTATCACATCTCCCGTATTGCATATCCTGTATAGCAACCATTTAGGAACATCTCGAGACTGTTTTCGGAATTCCTCAGTTGTTATCTGCTTGAAATTTCAGCAGACACCAGTGTCGGACATGTAAACCCTCTTGCTGATGGAGGGACACATGTGTCCGGATATTTGATTCATGCAATCACTTGTTCATCACTGCATATCTTTCAAATAAAACACCGAAGATTATATTATGTAATGCTTTTCTTCTAATGAAACGTTATCGAAGATTGACGTAATATATCGAATGACCTCCCAGTTGTACATATGACGTCCAGTTGCCGTGTTTCCTAGCATGATACGTAATTTAACCACATTAAAGTAGCGACAGCAAGAGGGTTTAGCAGCCATCCTCGGACAGTGGAAATAGGAGAAATAGATACTTCACTTAAATTATTCCAGGAATTCAGCACTGGTCCCAGAGTGCAATTTGAATAGAGTGCCCTGTGTCAGCCGTCTGTGTGATGTCAAATCCATATTGGGTGCTATAACAATCCTCAAACCAATATAATTTTCGGAATTAGACTTCAATTTATCAGCAAATAAAGGACATGTTAGACATAATGATTATCAATAGACATAAGTTCAGAAACAATAATGATAATAATAATGATAATATGAAGTTAACTACATTAGTTATTTTCTTATTGTAAAACATTCATCACAAATCAAATCAGTGTTGTATATTTCGTCATGTTCGCATGAAAGGAGGCAAATAAGTCTTTTCCGTATCTTGATTTTTTTCATCTATACATAGTTTTAAAGCAGAATTTAATATAACTTTCGTATTAGTTTGAATGCTGGATATTCCATTAGAAAATGAATTGCATCTTTAATTGAATCTAATGAACAAAATGAACTAATTTTTGTTTTCCATCCTTTTATTGTGACCCTGCTCAATAACTAATTTATGAGACCCCATTCTCAATTATGTTTTAAAAATACTTGCTACTTTTTTCATTAAGACAATATTCTACAATTTCGAATCAATATTTCGAACTATTTTAAGGACTGTATTTCTGCAGTCATACATTTTAAACCATAACAAATGTAAATCCTTTAATACTTGATTTATTCATGATAACTTAATTAAATTGTTAATTAATTAATTTAAAAAGAATAGCGTGCCATCAATGCACTTAAAATAGATTAAATCGAATTCTGAGTCCTTTAAAATATTTATAATGTATCTATAAGTAACAAGGATATTTACCTTAAATGCTATTATTTAATTCTATTTAAAGAACCCGAAATGAAGTTTTGGCAACAAATAACAAATGTTCATCTGAATAAAATTGTGATTCCTTATAAGATTAAAGGTCTGTATAGAAGTCTGGTGAGATCAATAATAGTAAAATATATTTTAAACATTTTGTATCAGTAAGTCTAGTTGGATATTTCCATTATTTTTAGTATTCGATTCAATATGTATAAGTCATTTTGTTTACTCTAAGGTAGATTTGAAAATACCCGTAAACATACAGAATTGAAGACAAAGAAAAAATATATAATAAAATTGTGTCCAAATTTCTTAGAGACGGGGCAATTGCAGCCATAACATTTATATAAGTAAGTGTAAAAGCAGTTATCGAACAAGAAAGGGCCCAATACCGAAGAACTTTTAAATTCATAAATAGTGAAAGCTGGCATGGCTATGGCAAAAAGCTAAGGACAAGGAAAAGACAAATCTGTACACAAAACACTACATTTGTAAAATTCGAAAACTATGGCTCCAAGACAAAAAGTTTATAAAGTGTAAATAGTGTGTACTTAAAATAGTACATAGAAAATTAACGACTTAGCAACACGAACACCAACAAAACTTTATGTAATCTCAGGTGTACCGGACGGGTAAGCAGATAATCATGTTTCACACCTACAAAACACGTTGATAATAGATATAAAGTGTTAAGGGATAACACAATAAAGAAGCTTTAAGTGACCCTTGAACATTGGCATTTAAAAAAAAACGCACAAGGTAAAACACTAAAAACTAAAAGTTACACCATCATTCACACCATTTGAACAAAACTATAGGTGATCATAGGTGCTATAAAGAGTAAAAAAGATCATGCTCTACTAGTGCAATTCATTATGAAGCTCAGGTTAAGTACAAATTTGGTGATGATTGAAATTCGTTGATGTACCAATCGAGGAATAAAGAACGGATTGTGGTTTCGAAAATTGGAACATATCCGTAGTCATCTCACTTTGGAAACGGATTTTCTTTTTTTAAATCTTTCTTTTTGGGTCAACAACAAGCCTTGTTGTTAAGAGGACCCGTAGGTTCTTTGAAAGGTACATTTTTATCGCTAGATCAAGGGAAACTAATTTTAATATCTTATTAAACTCCTCAAATTTGGTAACACCAACTACTCAAAAATCAGTGGAAGACTCTTTGAGACAGGCGGGACCTC